CCCAGCGACCATGGCGCTGAAGATTCCTTTCTGAAACACCAGAGCTGGCAGCTAAAGTAGCTCCACCTGATCTAGCTGAATGAGTGCTAAACTTAGAGATATCTGGTACAATATTCGCGCCGGAAAGACTTTTTTAAAGACTGCCTATAGGTAGAGTAACTAATCGGCTTGTTTATAGAGATAAGGCGCTTATAATTGCCTGAAGCTGAAATGGCCCTAAAAAGATACTCGTCTGAATTTTTCGGAATCTGGGCCTTGTGCATATACAGCTTAAGTAAAGAACACCGACACGTGGTAGACGAGGATTCTGCGATAACGACCGATCTACCCTCCCTCAGTTGGTCCGTCTTGCTTTTCTCTATGCTGATTGTGAGGTAACCCTCGTTAAACTGAACATCTCTGCTACGAATAACCCATAACTCGGAACTTCTAAGAAAACCGGAAAATGCGAGAATGAACATAACTAAATTTCTTAATTGTAGAAGGTCTTCTAGATTAGTCTCTGCAGCAAGAAGCTTGAGGTGGTGAGGGTCCAGGGCCTCCTTCCTATTGAGTATTGGCTGACTGGCAAGGCGAACAGCTCCTTCTTTTACGGCCATAACAGTAGGGTGTAATGTTGGTGAGTCGACGCCTGCAAGAAAATGTATCCACTTGAACGCGTAGAAGGCGCAGTTGATGGTAGCGACGGACTTGGACGACTCCAGGAGGTGTTGCAAGTAGAGGGCACAATCGATGGGTCTGACTGGAAACTCCGAGGTACCCAAGACTTCACTAGTTAAGGCTCTCCACTTGTTAAAAGCTCTCAAGTAATTTTCGGATGTCCGGGACGCTTTGGAAGCAAGCAAGGTAGATTTGAGATTCTCCATTAGCTGAACCACTCGCGGAACTTTGGGCCTCTGAAGACCAGAAAACGGAAGTGAAGATATCTGAGGATAAGAAAAAGGAAACATATCAAGAAAATCTAAACCATATCAATGCCACAGGCAGCAATGCACACAATGCTGAATTTCCATTTAACTCACTGTTTTCAGTAACGAAAACCTTTGCCCTCCAGGCAATACACTTCTCGCGTATCACAATACAAAAATAAAAACCATGCTATTCTAGTGGACGTACCCGTCTAGGGCGTTTGCACATAGTCAACATAATATACCCCTCTAGGGTACAAAAAAGAAAATACATATGATAAATCGCCCCTCTAGGGCCTCTCCTGGATGCCTCTCTAAGGCATAACACGTTTAACTAGCAATAACTAACAAATAATAAGTACTTCACGCAAATACGCCTTATCGACACACAGTAAAACAGCTGCAATCTCTAGCCCGAATGGAATCAAACACAAGAAACTAGAAGGCTTTTACGAGATAACTCGGAATCTAATCTGGGAATGATGCTGAAGTCAAGACGTAGAGCCAACGAAACGAATGCCAGTGGCTTGCTACCAAAAATAGAGTTCTTAGCTTTTCCTCTAATGAATAAATTAGGAAAGTTAGGCAGTATAACCCAGTCATGGATAAATGTACTCCAATGGAAACCATCCGAACACAGGATGGGCCAAAAGTGGGCTGACTTCCAAAGGGGAACGATCAGAGTTCCTTGAGCACTGCAAAGCTCCATATGCTTAA